CCGAGGGAGTTTCTGTCGGAAGAGGTCGACCTTATTTAAAAAGAGGATGATACTCGTTCGCATGAACCATCGAGAGTTGACAACAGAGTCAAACAGCACCAAGCTTTCCATCATCCGATTCTTCCGGCCAGTTAGATGCTGTATCCACTGACGGTGAGCATCAAGAGACATACCTGATTGCTTTCCTCTAATAGAACTTGGTCATATTCGCTAAGCGCCACGCAGAAGATGATGGACGTGACATTTTCGAAACAGTGAATCCACTTCTTGCGCTCACTGCGCTGGCCGCCCACGTCGAACATGCTAGACACCAGGTAAGCATCATAGAAGACGCAGTGATCCAGAGGCACATACTGTATGCTTAGTTGACCCATCGTAAAGCGAGTCTCATAGATACCGGTGGTTTTTGTTCGCGCGCGAAGCACATCATTTACACTGGGAATGTAATCTGGAGCTGATACTCGCTTGGCTTCCTCGAAAAAACTAGGTCCTCCTCGTCAGCGTGCAGGCCGCGCGGTGAGATAGAACGTGGGCACTCTTACTAGGGCGCGGAATCCATCAGGTAGAATTCGTTCTGGTGTTCTAAGACCGTCGACGTACAGGGGTCATTCCAGAGGTAAGTGATCGCATCCCCAACCTTACTGTCGAGCGGCACGTTGGGATCGGGGTTGATATTGTATTCGAGGATGTACTGGATGTAATCGCGAACTTTTTGACTCGAAGGTTCCAGAGAGAACTGGTGATAAGCGGCGATGAGCGATTTGGCGCAATCAAGGAGGTTTTTGTATACGGTCAGACGATATAATGACAACTCTTCGACCGTGTAGCCATTCTGATGGATGATCTTCATCTGCTTGACAATTGTCGACTTCCCGCTTTCTCCGGAGCCTAGACAAGACACATACTGTTAGCGCAGACCTCCATAGTCTCACCGTCCAGACAAGGGGCAGGAAACCGACCGAGTAGTAAGATCTTGCATTCTCGCCGTAGTCGTCTCGAATCTTCTTCCAATTTGCGATCGATAGCCTGGCTCCTCCGCTTCTGTTCAACATCTCCGGTCGCCTCGGAGCTCATACACGAACCCATTTTCTCGTATAATTCCCAGACAGCGGAGAACTAGCCCATTAGCTGCCTGCGGAAGCGTGCGGCATCCACCTATCAGACCGCTGACAACTGAAACCCCCGGGAGATGCGGTTCTCGAACAGTAGGTCGAACTAGGTCTGAGACCGGTCGAATCGTGGGACGACTGGGATAATTGGCGCGATCGAAAGACAATGGAGAGGTCTCGAGCAACAGAAGAAAGGGTGTTAGGTTTGCGATCGTCGAAGAAGGCTCGATTAGGGATCGAGGCTTGCGCGCGGAACGGTGTAAGGCAAAGCCACACCAGACAGGTTCGGGTTTTGGAACGACGAGGGCCTGAGCGACGTCTGCAAGCTTCGGAAACCGCAAGTGGTGTGACCCGTGATATGGGAGGTTGAGAGGAGAGGAGAGGAGAGGAGAAAGGCGAGGGCGAAGGAAACTAGGGAGGTGAGTCGGTTGAGGAGGAGGATGGTTGGATAAAGAGCAGGATCGGTTGCGTGGTAGATACGTTATAGCTCTCGCGACGTCTGAGCTGAGAGGAAAAGCTGGGGTGAGGGGCGTGTCAGAGTTCCCAGTGCGGAGCAGCAAAACGAACGAGAATGACGACCTGACGCTAAAAAAGGGTAGTCAAGGTCGATCGGGAGTTGATGTGGGAAAGTGGATGGAGGCGCGCGGATCTCGAGTGAGATAATGTAAGCAAGCAACGAGGATCTGCTGTGTTCGGTCGGCAAATGGTCGATCGGGAATGGTGTTGGAGGGGAAAGGGATGGAGGGATTGAGGTGGTGGTAAGGTAGATAAGTAGGTAAGATTTGTAGATTGATTGATTGATCTATTAATGGTTCATGATTAATGGTTCATATGTTTGGGGAAGAAGAAGGGGGGGGGTGTTTGGAAAGAGAGGGAAATGACAGCTCGTGGGTGTTTCAGAGGAAAGGCGGGTAAGTTTTGTTAAGTTAGTTAACTTATTTGGTAGTCGATTAGTTTAGTGAGTGTAGGGAATGACTGTAGTGAGACGGATGGATGTTGAATGTCGGATGGGAATTGGAGGAGTGGATATCCCCAATCGTCATAGCACTCGTTTTTACCTTACCCTGTGTTCAAAAGTCCGTTAGTTCGCTAGTTAACTTAAGGTCGACAGGTGGAAGTGGAGATTTGAGGAGACCGAGAGACCGAGGGAAGGGAAAGATTACATACACTCGTTCGATCGTAGGGGCGACGAGTGGGTATTCGTTGGTAAAAAAACGTGGACCGCCCACTCTCGACTTGCCTGGAGACTGGTAGACTACGTCCTTAGTCTAACCAACTGGACGGAGTGCTGGACTTACCCTACTAGTGTCTAGTTCGATCGAGGACGAGATGACCAGATGCGCCGACAACAAAGGGTCTTGACTGCCAAGCTGGATTCATTAATTTGTCCTTCTCTCCAATTTCAGACTATTAGGTACTACTAGGTACTAACTACGGCGTATGAGGTGCTCAATCAACTACAATACTCTGTGCTTAGCTCCAGTGACGCGAGACAGACCACTGACCAGCCAGCCAAGCCCTTCGTAGAGACTGGGACGGAAAATACTCCCCCGACAGGTTCCGCTAGTCACTTTTATACTAAACTTACTGCTTGCTACCTTTCATATTTACCTAGTAAATACAGTACAGCACCATGTTCGAAAGTTTCACAGTTGTCCTCATCAACAACTTGCCAGACCCGTGGTAGGAGGCATTGACGGCGGCGGCGCTACAAGCAAAGTCGCGTACGGAATGTCCCTCCTCGACGGAGTATTCATTCCGGACTACTAGACATGCACGGAACACAGAGCCACACGGGAGAAGATCCCATGGACTTATATTCCTTGGACCTCTGTCATGCATGGTGTTAAGCTGTCGGAATCATAATTGTCAGAGGCTGATTCAAGGTCACACTAACTTAGCAGTAGCTGAGGTAGAGATACCAGCTTTCCCCAACAATGACTCCGAAGGCTGCACCACTCCTCCTCATAACCGGGTTATTGATTCTGACTATGCACATTGATATATGGGAGAGTCTGGTATTTTGGATGGACTTCATGGTATTAGGCTTGAAACTGGGATTTATCCAAATCTATATATAATCAAGCCCGGGGTGTCGGAATTCCAGAGTTAGACTACAGGGCGTCTATTTACATGGGTTCTTGGCTTGTCATTGTTCTTTCCCCCTCCTCATCATTCGCTACTCTCGTTGCTGATGGTCCGTGAGAAACAAAGGCACATGGCTATGAGTGGGCTAGGGAACATGCGGCGTTCGCAAGTTCAAGACAGGTTCTTCCACCCTGCACGTTTCAAGTACGAAGAAGACTACCATTTGCTGGGTTCAAGTTGCTCTGAAATTTTTGATAATCACTAGGTATATATTGATGTCCAGCTACCTCGGTAGCAGTGTTCGAGCTGTAACGCCTCACCTTGAACACAGTCTATTGGATTGGAACCTCAAACGCTGAACACTATACTTCTTCAACCTCAATATAGGTTGATCATTCCGATCATTCTCTATCTACCGTTCTCATATTTGGAGCAGTACCTAAATAGGCATGTCGTACCCAGGCGGATCAGGCACGCTTTACTATGTAACCCGAACCCGAGTCGTGGCACGAATAAATAAATGACGGGGAGTCTGGATATAAGGGTGACCTACTCCAGGAAAATGCAAAATCACCCGAGTCTCGGGTAAACCAGGAAGAATGTTCCAAACGAAAGTCGCCCTCTTGATGGACAGTATATGAGCGCTTGGACCCAACGAGGGGCGGGCGGCCTTTACCGTCAACCGCAACATGTTGTCTCGACCTGGTGGAGTCAAGAATTGAGACAGTCTAGATAGTTAATCGATTTAGGTGATTCTTAAATCTGGGGGAAGGGAGCCCCAGTCCCTGAAGGCTACAGGACTAGTAGATGTAATATAGGTTATAGATAAGGATATAGCTAGAAAAGGGGATCCGAGATCGATTGCCATAGGGGAGACAAAGGCAGACTTGAGAAGGCGGTAAGAGGTATAGATCTAGAGGGGACTGCGGGAATAAAGATGGAGCGGGATGGGTTTTGACGCGCGAAGGAAATGGAAGTGATTGGAACCGTCACCTTGCAGACCCACCAAGGTATGATGACATCGTCCAGCAAAGGTCGAAACATTACGTAGTGAAAAGCCAGCCAGCCAGCCTAGTCCAGCCGGAAGTCCATGCTTTGACCTGGGCTGGCCATTCTTTTATGTGCGCATCTGGATTTCTTCCATAATCGGCCGATATATCGATGTGATTCTGGTTCTGGTTCCCAGACTGGTGCCGCCACAAATTTCGAATTGCGAATATAGATGTGTTATTCAGGATCTTGAAATGATCCTCATTGTTACTGTGGTTGTGGTTTCGGTTGTCATGGTCACTGTCGTAGATGCGGTTGTGGGGGTAGTATAGAAATCAATGTTGCAATTTGAATGTATGTACCGTCCTGAAGTCATCGACTGGGTTCTTCAGGTACCACGCATGAAAGCCTGAGTTCCTCTGAAGGAAAAAGTATCCCTACGTCTCTGTAGTCCTACTTAATAGCCGGTGAGTTCTGCTAGACGGTTAGGTAAGCGTAGTGAGAGAACAGCATCATCTGGAGGGGTGTCCACTGCCGGCCAATAGATACCGACGAAAAAAGGGTTCTAGACAAGAAAAATCTGGGTGGTGGGAGGAAAGGAGAAGAGGGATAACTAGGGAAAACGAACTCACACCAACCCAAATTTCTGGCTTAAGGCTGCGGTGTGTGTGTGTGCGCGTTGATTATGGCGGCGGCAGTTTTTCTGCCATACCCTGCTTCGTTCGCGGACGTCATCGGTCTTGTTTTGGGCGTTCCGGAAACTCGAACTCAACGGACTAGGAAGAAGAATGGTCTTTTCCCCACACACCCTGCTGGGGCGCCACCTACGGCTTTTGCTGCCTCGCTACTCACTCACTCACTCACTCACCATCTCATTCTTGTTTCTCTTTTCTCCCCTCTCTCCAACTTTGGTGCGCTCGACGTCTTAACTTAGATATTCCTCTCTGCGCCCGCAGGACCTGGTCTTCTTCTTTCTCCAGACATCATTTCCTCCCTCTCACTCTTACTCCTCCATTTCTCTCTCCCCCTCACTCTCGCTTCCCCCCCCTTCACATCCTCGTTTCGTTATCCGCCGCCCCCGAGAATCTCCGTTTTAAAATACAAACCCTCGTATTTCCTCTCTTCCTGCATTGAACTGAACCTGGTGTGCCATCCATCCTTGGTTCAAAATGGCGGAATTCGTGCGTGCCCAGATTTTTGGCACCACCTTTGAGATCACCAGTCGGTAGGATGAACTGAGCCCAAATTACCCCTCCAAGCGTGTCGGGATGACTTCTAACTTCGGACTTCCCAGGTACACCGACTTGCAGCCGGTGGGAATGGGCGCTTTCGGTCTTGTCTGGTATGGCTATTGACAGCGTCCCCGTTTCTTGCTTTTTGATCGCGACGCCTGGTTTTTGCAAGTCAATCAATCGAGCATTTTACTGACATGCGCCCCTTTGGGTTCAACCAGTTCGGCGCGGGATCAATTGACCGGGCAACCAGTCGCCGTCAAGAAAATCATGAAGCCATTCAGCACACCCGTCTTGTCCAAGAGAACATACCGCGAATTAAAACTGTTGAAACACCTGCGACACGAAAATGTTGGTCTATGCCGCTTGACGGCGATTCGCCGCCCCGCCGTGCTCCTAAGGCTGACAGTTTGCAGATCATCAGTCTGAGCGATATCTTTATCTCTCCACTTGAGGATATGTACGCATTAATCATCATTCCCTGCGACAAAATTAACTCTAACATGGTAACCACAGTTATTTCGTCACAGAGCTGCTGGGCACCGATCTTCACAGATTGTTAACTTCGCGGCCTCTCGAAAAACAATTTATTCAATATTTCCTGTACCAGATTCTGGTATGTAGCCGGCACTGACCATGTCATCTCGTCTCCCGGGCGCTCCTTCGTGACGGTCACTAATGGTCTATAGCGGGGGCTGAAATATGTCCACTCGGCCGGTGTCGTTCATCGTGACCTTAAACCCAGCAACATCCTTATCAACGAGAACTGCGACCTGAAAATCTGCGATTTTGGTCTTGCCCGTATCCAGGATCCGCAGATGACCGGCTATGTTTCGACTCGTTATTACCGTGCGCCCGAGATCATGCTCACTTGGCAGAAGTACGACGTAGAGGTGGATATTTGGAGCGCAGCATGTATTTTTGCAGAGATGCTGGAAGGAAAGCCCCTGTTTCCCGGAAAAGACCACGTCAATCAATTCTCAATCATCACGGAGCTGCTGGGAACCCCGCCCGACGACGTGATCCAGACAATTTGCAGCGAGAATGTGGGTGACAATCGATTCGAATCTTCCAGCGCTGAAAACTAACTCTTATTGTGATCATTAGACGTTGCGATTCGTCAAGTCGCTACCCAAGCGTGAGCGACAACCTCTGGCCACCAAGTTCAAGAATGCCGATCCAGATGGTACGAACATCATGTCCTCCTTTTGTGGTTGAAGGCGAGAGCCCTGCTGACATTTATTAGCGGTCGATCTGCTGGAAAAAATGCTTGTATTTGACCCGAAGAAGCGTATTCGGGCTGGCGAGGCCCTGGCCCACGAGTACCTTGCCCCGTATCACGATCCGACCGACGAGCCTGAGGCTGAGGAGAAGTTTGATTGGTCATTCAACGATGCCGACCTGCCCGTGGATACATGGAAGATTATGATGTGGGTATCATAAGGGCACGATGCAGAAGAATCTACCATGCTGACAACAAGATAGGTACTCCGAAATCCTGGACTTTCACAACATTGACCAGGGCAACGATGCCGGTCAAGTGCTTGTCGAGGGGGCTGCGGCTGGACAGCAGAGCTTTGCATGAGGAGAGATTCCTGCCTAAAATTACCCTTGACGAGGTGCACGGAATATGATAATGATGTCCTTTCCTTTTATGTTCTCATGGTATGTAGACTGGATGCGGGGATTGTGATATGCACGTTCACGTACTTATGTTCTGGCCACTACATCGCTTGTTTTTTATGCCCCCCCCTTTTTTTTGTTTCTCAATGATCTCCAGGCTGTGACAAAGTCCGGATAATGTTGGAGATTAGAAACGTCTGTAACATGACCCAACTGTTTGGATTTTTCCATTCTGCTATACATACACTTTACATTATTCCGGTCATGATCGACGGAACATTGTTTTGCCTTTCCTTCCCACCAAATGGTGAATGTTGTTTCCCCCCTTTTTTTGAGGTGTGCTTGATAGATTTTGCTCAACGTTGAAGCAAGTTACCTAATAATCAATGCAATGACTGTATACAACTGACTTGAAACCATTTCAATGATTTTTATCCAAAAAGAAATCCAAAAAGAACACCCAGAGGAAAGATAAGATATCTGATCGGATTGTTGTCTGTGTCGTATCTGAACTACCTTACTAAATCTATCTTTGACTCCGCTGTAGCAGGAGAACCTAAGCTAACTTAGGGGTGGGACAACAATGTTGGGTTTATTTCCTTCCTGTTGTCATATTTGGGGGGGGGGGCGGGGGAGGAAGGGGGGTCCGTTGCAGTGGGTGGGGGGATCCATCACCGCTCTCTGTCACCGCCCGCCCGCTGAGGAGGAGGAGGAGGAGGAGGAGGAGGAGGAGGAGGGA